TATATATTTGTAATATTATAGTTAAATTATAGCAATATATCATATTCTAAATAGAATGGTGACATCAATTGACATATCAATTTCTTTGACATTATAGACATCATTAAAATGTTATTACGGCGTCATTTGAAGTCACCTTCCCTTACAGAAATAGTATTTTTTAAAAGTTTCTTTTAAAATTTAGTATTTCGATTTGTTTAATTTGGATTTTCTTGGATTTTTTAATTTTTTTTGTTTTGATTAATCATTATAACATTTTGTTAAAAATCTAAAAGTAATTATCACTGGTTCACTACATTACATCAATATTTATCGCATATCGAATGTTGTTGCATTGTTTCAATATCTATCAGCAAATTATCCAACAAACATTAAGTAAAAATTATATAACTATTATTTGATGTTTGCTAACCCTTATAGAAATATCATACTAAGAATCATTGATAATTACTTATTATCCAGTATTTTTAATACTGAAAATAAGTAATTATCAATGATTCTTAGTATGATATTTCTATAAGGGTATAATGTACTGTGAACACTATAAGGATACATTATATCAGCATGAATTGTAAGAACATCGTTGGAGTCATCAGAGTCACCGCGTGCGCGCTCGATCGTCAGGTTAAGCAACAGTTTAATGCGGTCAGGACATGGATGGGTGCTAGTAGTATACTGCTTGGGATCGAAATTATCGCTGGAGGATTTCACGAAACGTTGAAGTGTATTTGTGACAACCTTCGATACGTAGCAGTTCATGAAACATGAGAAAACTAGGAATATATAAGTATATTTTTTTAAATATTATGATTTTCTCATAGTAATATCATTGTGATTTTCATCATTATATTACTATGATGCATTTGCCGCGGACATTTTAATATTATTGTGATATCTTAGTAATATTCCAGCATTATTTCTGTTATATTCCCTGGTAATATTGCAATGAAAATATAATATTACTGTGATATTTCTGCGATATTACGTGCTATGTGGGATACGTATATATAATAAGTAAAAATTGATTTTCTTTAGTGACCGATGATGAATGTTGATGAAAATGACGTTAGAGAGATATCGATGTTAGGTTAGTTTATTTAGGTTATGTTATTTAGATTATTTAGTGTTATAGAAACTTAAATAATAAGCAGAAATAACCTAACATCGATAGCTAATATCGTTTTCATCGTCCAATAAATTTATAAATTGTATTGTGAAATTGTACTCATTGAATAATCGAGCAGCAAACGACTAACAAGCGCAAATATTTGGACATTCATTCGCATTCGCAATAATAATGCCAGAAATAGCCCGCGTAATATCGAAAAACGGATGGTAAGAGTATGTATACAAAAGACAAGCCACGTATATATTATACATGTCATTCCTAGCAATACTGATTTGTTTATGTGTCTCAAACTGTATCGAACAATCATATTCATACGTCTAGATTTGATGTTCGTCTTGATAACGAACATTTGCATTTATTATTCGTTATTTATTCATTATTCGTTTGCTTAATGAATACCCAGCCATATATTGTCATTTACATATTGTCTTTTATTGTGTATTTCACATATAGCACATAATCTTAACTGGTCATTTTTTCAAATTTCTTTTATTCATAACTTTTTAACAAACAATGACCTATTAAGCGTCAGTCATTCTTTATTAAAGTGTTCAACTTTTGTATTAATGTGACAACAGAAAACACAAAAATTAAACACTTTAATAAAGAATGACTGACGCTTAATGTAACGATAGGTTGGGTTAGGTTAGTTTTAAGGGAGTGTGCGGGGGACGTAGCCTCCCGCTAGTTGTTCGATATCGCACTTATCTTTCGATATTGCTCGTTAACGGGACACAGTATCGAAAAATTGTAATATATTTTTCGGACTTCTTTCATCAATAATTTTTTAACAAACAATGAGCGACGGCTAAAATCTTCAGAAGGTCACTCAGAAGGGTGACCTCTATGACATATGTCAAGATCAGGCTGATCGGAGGTGGCGCCCTTTTTCTACACCTTTACCCAAAACTTTACAACCTCTTTAAATTTTAGAACTGTTTAAATTTTTTTAACTTTTGCAAATCAACTAGTAGCGTATCTTCCATTTTAACTTTATTTAGTTTACTCTTTACTTTATTCAGGTCAACTATTCACTTTAATACCTCAATAATAGAATAGCTGTGGCTGTATTTTGACTTTTGTATTAACTGTCGCAGCGTTTTCGCAGCTAAAAATTTAGCCAAAATAGCTGTGATTGTATTTTGACTTGCATAATAGCTGTCGTAGTGTTTTCGTAGCTAAAAATCCAGCTAAAATAGCTGTGGCTGTATTTTGACTTTCATAATAGCTGTCGCAGAGCTTTTGTAGCTAAAAATGCAGCCAAAATAACTGTGGTTGTATTTTGACTTTCATAATAGCTATCGCAGAGCTTTTGCAGCTAAAAATTCAGCTAAAATAGCTGTGGCTGTATATTGACTTTCATAATAGCTGTCGCAGAGCTTTCGCAGCTAAAAATGCAGCCAAAATAGCTGTGGCTGTATTTTGACTTTCATAATAGCTGTTGCAGCGCTTTCGCAGATAAACATGCAGTAAAAATAGCTGTGGCTGTATTTTGACTTTCATAATAGCTGTTGTAGCGCTTTCGCAGCTAAAAATCCAGCCAAAATAGTTGTGGCTGTATTTTGACTTTCATAATAGCTGTCGCAGCGCTTTCGCAGCTAAAAATCCAGCCAAAATAGCTGTGGCTGTGGCCAAATAGTTGTAATTATGGCTGGGAGAACGTTATACCAGCCATATTTTTACTGTCGTAGCCAATATAGCCAGACTGTGCTACTTGAGTTTTTCATATAAGAAATGGACAAGAAAAAATGTAACATAAACTCATCAAAATACACTCATAGATCGAGTAACATTTCAAATATCAATTATCTGCTCTCAGCATTACCCTCACGCGTCGTTGATCCTGGGTAACACTAAAAGCAGATAATTGATATTTGGAATGTTAATCGATCTATGAGTGTATTTTGATGAGTTTTTGTTAGGTTTTTTCTCGTCCATTTTTTATATAAAACACAATATTAATATAAATTTATTCAAATTATGGACTTATTCATGTGTGTCTTATTAACTTAAACCCATCACTGAAATTTATGTTAGCTAGCTCTACTCGTTTGTATCCTCGCTTACTGTTTGTTTAGCGATGGTGCCTCCTATATTATATTGGCAAACCCTTGTACTGGATATACATTTCTCTGCTGGTTTGTATCGGTAACATTAAATTTAATCTATCACATGTATTTTGATATTTGCTATGGCTTTGCTTTTTATTGTTTGATTTACTTTCTTTCTTTTCTATGATGACCTCTTTTCTCTTAACCCTTTGCTGCAAGGTGGTACTCTAAGAGTACCACCTATTTTAAAGAAATTTTTTAAATTTTTCCAATATTTAATTCTGGACTTCTCTATTTTTTTGTAATTTTATCTTGTTAATATGTTCAAGATTGGGCAAGGTAGGATTTTTCTTTATTGTTTGTCAATTTATTTATATAAATAAACAAAGTTAATCCTTTCAGGCATATATTTTTCTATTTATTAGTTTTTCATGAAAATTGGTATACAGGGATTTTGTAGGTCGCTGATTATGAATCCCTCAGTACATTTTTATAATTCTCCGTCATTAATAAATAAATAAATAAATTATTCGTCATAAAATAATCCGTAATAAATAATTAAATCCGTCATAAATAAATTAAATAATTCGTCATTAGATTTTTATAGTTCACTTTCAAAATGGTGGATATAGCTGTTCAGAATTTTGAGGAATTTTAGAGTTTTCTGTCAATTTTTTACAAAAAATATTTTGTAGGTCTCTGATAATGTATACGTCATCAGATTTTTATGTATAGGGATTTTGTAGGTCGCTGATAATATATACGTCATCAGATTTTTAACATTCACATTTGTTATGTTGAATCTGTCATTTTGAATCTAATGACAGATTCGTAATCAGAGACCCAAAGAAACTCCGTATATCAATATTCATAAAAAAACGATGAAAAACCCATAAAATTGTGAGCCGTTATATGGGATCCGCCATTTTCAAAAGAATTATAAATATCTTAATGAAAAATCGATATATAGAAAAATATGTGCCTAAAAGGGTTAATTTATTTTCTTTTTATTATTTGAAAGAATCCTTATTTTTTATGTCTTGTTTCTACGCGTGTTGTTTCTTCTGTTGATTTTACTGGTAATGAAATTGTTGCTGCATTCTAGTCTCTTGATATCCTGGATATTTTACGTTGTATACACATCGGTGAATAACGTGTGCTAAGACGTGAACATTGCATATCTCTAATAATGCAGCTTTGTAGATCCAAATCAACTTTAGTATTTCTTGAGACTTTTTTATTTATACTCTCTTTATACTCTCTTATTTATATTACGTTTGGTTATTTAATAATTTGTTTGCCAGTTGTCCATGCGTGAATTGCGCGACATCCTATCTTTTTTGTCTTAACGCTTAACTTATATGACATTTTGACCTTAGAACTGTGTATGCATATTAATTTTAAAATTCTTAATTTGTAATGAAGATGGTCTGATTGAAGACTGAAACGTCTGGACTATTGCATTAGATCACATTATATTTCTGGATCTAATTCTTTTGTGATAAATATAATTATTTCATAACACTATATGAGAACTGTGCTTGGTTTTTAAAGGTGGTTCCTATTTGTTATCTTTTTTGTTTGCTTTCATCAAAGCCTTTTTTACTAATTTTCCTTCTCTTAAGATTTAAATAACATGGAATTAAATTATTTAAAATTTATTTCTATTCTGGAATTTTATTTCTATTCTGGTATCAATATAGTTATTACGCATTCTATACATAAATGTCTAATTAAAAATATTATACAACTAAGTCCATTTCTTCCTATAATAAATTCTGTACTAATTTCTATAATAATTCTATACAATTTTCGTACTTTTATCCTCGCTTGGCCAATAAGAAAGATATGTAGCCAGCCGATGTTTTTAATAGCTACAATAATATATCCTTCATGTACATAGATATAGATACATTATGAATGTGAAAATGAAAATTATTAGAAAAATCTTACGCTACAAAATGTGGTCATCGTAAGTGGGAATATTTTCCCCGCGGTAATGCGAAATGGTTGATGAGCTCGTATCATTAATAGGATGAGAGATTTTGCCTTTCTCGGCTCCAGTTTGTACCATTTTACGTTGCACATTGTACGATATACTCCTTCACACTTAACAAGTATATGCAGAATATTTAGCATAAATATTGATAATAAATATCGATAAAATATTATTTTAATATAAAACGTAAATAGGTTATATTTTCATAAACACTAAGTAATTATTCGTAACAATTTATTTAATAAGTACACCTATATATATATTTATACATTTAACTTACTTGACTTATAATAATCTCTCCAGCTCCACAATAAAGAAAAGTATGCGTAAGTAAAATTGTAATACCAATTAACGGAAAGCACAGTCGCGCCAAAGTAATGTTACCTTTTTCGGTAATCACCTGAATAACATACTTCATTAATTAATAAAGAAAAAAATTTAATTTATATCAGTAATATTCATGTTTCAAGATATGAGTAATCTATATTTTTCGCAAGAAATAAAAACACATGAACCGCGTCAATAAATTAACGTGCATTTTTTTGGAACTCACAGTAATTAATAGGAACCCATGTAAGCAGAATACAATGCCAAAGTAGAACATTAGTGTTAGCATCATTAAAGTGAAAGAGTCTTCGACGATACTGGCAAATCTATAAGAATAGCGATATATTTAAAATATATATAATATATTAAAAATTGTATAATAAAACTACAAAAAAAATACTTTCATTTGAACAATGCCATCAAATTGTTAATATTTTTTTCTTTCAAACAAACTATTTTAATAAAATATATTACATCAAATATTATATATATATATATATATATATATATATATATATATATATATATATATATATATATATATAGAGGG